ATATTATCTACAGTTCAATATTATGTATATTAATATTGTTATTGTAACGAAATTGTTTATTGGTGGACTTGCTCAAAACATCACTTTCTGTGGATTTTGTACGTAACACACGATACACTAAATGCACATCTGAATTCGTAATCGGTAATAATATGTACATTAGCATTGACATATATTTTTACGGTCGCTCTGTAATAATGAACTCGTTAGGTCGTATTATAATAGGACTTAAAAACGAGCGATAAACACTAAAAAAATACCGTTTAATATGATCAAGTGTGAAACCATTTATGTATAATATATTATCGTACCTATATCATAAATAACACGATTATTATTTTGATTTTGAATAATTTTATCCCGCGAAACGTAATAAAATAATCCTCGAATATGCGCTGCGTCATATTATCATCAGTTGCCCAATAAACCTGTATGCCAAGTTCTATTTCGATAGAACAATATATCATTTAAATAACGATGTAGTTTATGGGCAAATAACGCACCACCAATAGATTCCGACAAATTGTAGGCGCATGCGTATAGCTAGGCAACTACCTAATACGTCATTGAAATATATGCAAATAATATGCTGAAATGTAAGTTTTTATCGTCTAATTAATAAATTGTATCATACAAAATCATTTTTTTAGACAACCGTCATTGAATTAAATGAAATAGCGTGATGTGTTGGTTTAAAACTATATATGTATACCTAAAACTATTTTGAGACTGTCAGAGAAATAAGTTATTGATTTTTTTTATATTATTCATGTGTCATGTGTGCATGTATTTTGTAATAACAAACTGTTGTGTTGTATACTTGAATGTGTTATAGCTGAAGTTTCTATAGATATATACATAGTAATTTTCAAGTTACAAACTCGATAAGTGATTTTCGTGTACTAATTTGCTTAGTTTGTGGAGACGTTAACTTACAACTTACTACAAGTTTCAACGTAATTATCTTGTAATTTGAGGTGAAAAGTTTCCAGATGTGCATTGTGTATAGGTATAGTGGTCATGATGTCAGTTGTATATAATAATATAGGTAGTACTTGTTATATTTATAACCATATTATTTTTTAGTCTTTATTAGACAAATTCCAACACTTACACAATTTCAAAACCATTTCGATTATTGTAGTTCTTTTATTTGGTTTTTTTACAATGAAAATTATAAAATCAGTTTTAGCAAGATCACATAAAATAATTATTTGAATTATTTAATGAACGGACAATATGATATAAGCCTGAAAAAAATAGGTACTTAAATATCGTACGTCGCTCGTGTAACTAAATTATAATATTGTTAAATCCCTTCCGAGAATGAGTTTGTTTCATTATTGTCTTTATTATTTCTTAACCGTTGACGTGCCACAACATAATATTATAATAAACCTACGTAAACAATACGATTAATATGATATTATAATATTCCGTCGTTTGTGCATTTGTATTACCTATATTATAGTAAGTATCTACCTGCAGACTTCAGCACCAGCAGCAGCAGCAGTAGTATAAAACAATTGATTATAGACTGAGTGCATCAATATCATATAATATAGGTAGGGAACCTATATAATATTATATTATAGCATTATTATTGTCTCCCGCAAAACCCAGCACTGCAGTAATTATCGTCATTTATATATACTTTTGCACATAAATCATGAAAATATCATAAGCGTGGGATATATGTATATATGTATGTATGTCTGATATTCGTATACCTATCTTTTTATAGCCACTTCGCATGTGTAGGTACTTTTCAAAATAATATATATAATAAATGTATTTGTCGGGAAAATAAAAACCAGCAATTTTTCTGCGTAGACGCACGCAGTATAATATATTATTGTCGACGAAAAAAAAAAAAAACACCAATTACAGTTTTTTCTCTCTTTAGTCGCTCATATACCTCTCTCTGTATACCTCTTCATCCCTGCTGCTGCTGCTGCTGCTGCTGCTGCTGCTGCTGTTGCTGCAGACACTGCGTGTACCCGTTGTGTATAAGCGATACATAAAACATATATATTATGTCCATTGACGTCGTCGTCGTCGTCGCCGTCGGATAAAAACTTTATTTTATTTTCGTATACATGTGGTATAATGTACTATATATGTATGTACGTATCTTTCGAGTATGTCCGGCGACCGATGTGCTCGCGCGAGGTGCACTTAACCTTAATCGGCCCGAAAAACACTGCGCGCGCGAGAGCAGGAGAGAGAAGACGAAACAAAAAAAAAAAAAATGGTGCCGCGTCCCCGAACTGCTGTTTGCAGCGGCGGAGGTTGTCACGAACCTAGAAATGCGATTTCACACACACTCGCAGATAAGATGTATATATATATATGAGTCCGTATGTATATGAATAAAACTCGTTTTATTATTATTATTATTATTTTTTTCCGTATTTATTCGTTTCGGGGCCCCCACAATTTACGACTTCTACCGGGCGAGTAAATAATAATAACGACGACGACGAATGATAATAATATATATAAAATAACGGCCGAATCCGGAAAGTATCGACGGAGGCTGCGCGGCGGCGTTAATAGTTCCACGCACCGCGGCTAATGGGCGTCCTGATTTATTGCCGCCGCGTTGTCTGCAGCGCACGAAAACGCGGAGATCAGGTTTGCTCTACGCGGACGGTCCGGCGACGACGACGACGACAAGCCGCCGCCGCCGTATGATCACGAACGTACGTCGATCGGATGACACCGAAAAATAATAATATACGCTCGACGGTCGTGCTTAACCTATAGGGGCACCTCTCTGCTGTTTATTATAATTTCTATAATTTCTACGATCCGATGTCAACTATTTTTCTTTTTTTGACTCGTCGGACACTCGTCATATAGTCGTTTTCTCTTTGGTTTTTTTTTTTTAAAAAAACCAAAACAGTGTCACAGCGATTATAATAATTCCGAAGTGTGTGTATTCGGTGTACAATTTTTGAAAATAACTTTTAGTGAACGACACTATTTAGTCACGACAATGACGTTATTGTGAGACATGGTAATATCTTATATAAGTATAGGTATACTTGAAGTTCTTCCTTGTAATAGCAAGTATAGTCTTGTAGCATAAAAGAATACCTAACAAATTTGTTTTCATTAACATTTTGAAATTTCTTCGTTATATTTCAAATCATTTTAAAACGGCAATCGATGTATTTTGTGATTCTGTATTCCGTACCACGCACTACTACTTCCTGGCATAAAATGAGTAATTTTCTTTAAAAAAAAATCACACTTCCATATTATAGCATATTTTTATACAAATATCAAATTCAAATTTAAATATTCTTGATAATCGGCGATTAATAATCGCAGTAGAAATCGACAAAAAAAACCCAACAAAATCAGCAGATAACAAAAATTAGAACCTAATACGAAATTATCGTAATAATTCGATGTAAAAAAATAATATATATAATAATATAATTTCATAAAATATGACTGATTTTGATTCAAAAACTCACCCAAAAAAGTCTCAAAAAGTCCAAAAAAGCACTAATAAGTAAAAACTAAAAATCGAAAAATATACAAAAAAAACAAAATAAAATTTTGAATTTGAGCTCTCTGTATCATGAAACACATTTTCAGCTTACTCTGCTATTTTTTAAGCATCTGCATTAGGGTGGAACGAAACAATTTAAAAAAAAAAAAAATTTTTTTTTTGGTTTTTAATAGACATTTTTTTATGTATTTCGAGAGTATTAAAAAGTACAAAAACTTTGGAGGTCATAGGACAACTTTTTGAGGTGCCGCCATGTACTTATTTATTTTACGCCTAAATACATAATATGAATTTATTTTATTTTTATTTTACATTATTGTTTACCATAATAATAATAAAAATTATAAAGTTACCTATCATTAAAATTTTACTTATTGTATAGTTTTATAATTTAAACAATTCATATTCTTTTTTTGTATTAAATGATGGCATTATAGCCCGCGACTCAATTCTAGCTCGTATAAATCCATCTCTAGCTGATTCACCACAAACCGCTGTAGATGCATCGGTTACTAACTTAACGGCTCTCTCAACAGATTGAGTATGACATGGAAATATATTGATGTACTCAGCAACTTGTCCAGACATAACAATCTGTAAGAAACAAAAAATTAAGTATTTAAATTTAATAAACAGCTTAGTAAAATATATATATTACTCGATTCAAAACTTCATTTTCAAACATTGATAACATCGGTGGCTCAGTTATTTCACATTTGTTCCAGTCTACTAATTCAGTATAATCAGAAGCATCGAAATTGAGTAAAGGTACTTTAAAGATACGAATTCCTGTGGCTTTGCTAAGTCTTGAATTAAAAATTTTTTGTATAGCAAGTTCTCTTATACACATTCGATCATCAACTAGCATACTTAAAAGAATATTTTCAGGTGCTCCAAAATATGCATTTCTTTGAATAACTGGATCAATAATTTTTTGGTATTTTTTTGGTAAGTATCTTGAAAACTGAATGGATTGCCAGACATGTTTTGAACCTAATGAACAAAATGATTTCATTTTTATGTGAAACCACATTGGTGCATAAACTTTTAAAATAAATTCAGTTAAAGTTATTAGGTTTTCTTCCGGTGTTTCAGTGCTAATTTATAACCGCAAAATTCTATTTGCAGTAGTCAGCCACCTTGAATGTGCTTGTTTACCTGGATTTGTACGAGCTAAATCTATCGAACATTCACCATTTATTATGCTTACACAAATTATTGAATAAATATTTCTGGTCAGTAACTTAAATCAATTGCAGTTCTAAAACGGCATATTACCTTTAACTAGGTTTTAAATTTTCTAACGGGTAACTTATGACAATTCTCTAGTTGTTTTCCCAGTGTTCCAGAAAATCCACGCGGTCCTGAAGTTTTTCCATCTAGTTGTTGGAATAAATGACGCAAAGGTAGTTCGTTAGCGTGTAACTGACAAATAACCCATTGTAGTGGTTTATTTAGCTGCTCTTCTATTAGCCTAAGTACACCCCTTTAGTACCAGTAGTTTACGGACGGTCCCATCACAACCAATCACCAACAATTTTGAAGTACATATGTCGTTCGTTTTTAAATAACTTATAATACTGTTTTTAATACTTATAGCAGTTCCATTTACAGGAGTACAATGTCCCATAAATCGAGACCCTGGCTCTCCTATGAGTGTAATGTGTTCTTCTGTTATTTTATTACGATAATATTTGTCATCTATTTTTTGATTTATAATAGTGTGGTCTTTACGTCCATCAAAATATAGACTTTTTGGTTGCTTATCAGTTTGTATTTTAAGATCTTGACGTTTCTTATGTCTCTCTCTCCTTATTTTCATTCTGTCAATCACATGTTGTTTATCATCATTTTTAATTATTCCAACATCTTGTAGTATTGCACTAGCAATAGTAGCAGCAGTTCTATCAGATATTCCTGTTCTATCACACGCTAATGCTAGAGCTGGTAACTCGAGTCTCATTTGTGACTGTTTATTAGTACTATACGTTGAAGGCAATGAGGACATTGAATTTGGTGAATAATTGGAATCTTCGTCAGTATTGTCGTCAGTGTCAGTATAATATGTTTCATCCGTTTCTATAGTTTCCAAAGTAGTATTTACACACAACTCTTTTTTATTTTGTTTGACAATTCGATTTGCTTCTATTATTTTTCTGTGCATGTTTTTATTGAGTTTTTTGGTTGTTAAAACATCAATCGATGACATGGCCATTTTTCTCATTGATCTTTGGTCTTTGAGAAACATTTGTTCGATAATGGGAACTTTACGAGATTTTTCACAAGAGCAAAGATGGAATTCAATACATTTGCACGCTGCTAAATCAAAAAGTTTGTCTTTTGCATTATTCTGAAATTTTTCTAGATTTGATTTAAAAGTTAATGTATTTTTCCTGTTTTTAATAGATTTAATTATTTGTTTGTACTTATCGTGATAATTTACTAACAATTGTAGTGCACGAATGTGCGAAACTATTGGAATAGAGGCTTTCTGCCATATTTTTTCTACATCTATCACTACTATTTCAGAAATTATTTTAACAGTTGGATCTTTTCCATTACTATTTTGTTTTAATTGGTTTCTTACTTGTAAATAGAACTTCATTACATCTGCATAGGTAGGTAAAACTAAATTACTAAGAACACGAGTGTCACCGAAAATTGGACATTTTGACTTAATTCTGGTACAAATAGCCATTTCAGAAATGAATTGAAAATTAAACGCGTTAATAACTTTATATTAGCACTATAGAACGTCGTTTACGTCCACACTCGATGATAAATAGTGCGATACTAATCGTAAGTCAAATGATAATAATGCTGATTGAATTATTTAATCTATTAAACTATTATTTATGGTCAAAATAAATTTGGTGATATCGAAAAGTAATAAAAATGATGATACTTTGGTTTTTCGTTACCTATTTCTATATATAGATTTTAAATGCTCGGCGGCACCTCAAAACAACACTCTATGTTGACAATTTTTTTTTTACATATTATACATACTAAAACACAAGTTTTCCTTGCTATTATAAAATTAAATAACAAAATAAATTTTTTCGTTCCACCCTAATCTGCATCTCATAAGAAATATGCAAATGCTATAAGTCCCAACCCTTATAATTCATTGCCAATTGCTTTTTAATCTTTTATTTGAATTAAATCCCATTCCGTTTTGTATTAACTTTTGATCATATTTTTTATTTGTACAATTCACTATTAAATACATACAGAAACCTTTTAAAATGTAACATAATATATAATTCAATGTAAACATTATAATATAATATTATTATGTACCGTTTGTTCTTCAAGTAAATTTTTACATAATATATGTATTAATTGAACTTAAGTTAAATGTTAATACAATTAAACCATTTGGCTCTACTTTTATTTTTTTAAATAAATATTAGATAGGTACTAGTAGTGTAAGACTTTATAGGTATCTACATTCATACACAAAGATATTCGAAAATGTACACTCTTTATATTTTTCATTACTAGTTTGAGATTAACTCAGTATAACATCATATATAGATGCTAGTACAAATATAGTAGTATATAAAGATAATATATTCGTTTATGAATATAAATATCCCAAATAACTATTAATAATTTAGTAGGTACATACGAAGTACTTACTACTTAGTACTTAGTACTTATGTATAATTTGTATTTACGAATAACAAAGCACAACATTTTTACAAAACTTTAAATGGTTTACAAATTGGAATGTATTCATAGACAATTCTTATCTTGCGCAGCTTATATATTAAAAATAAAGAATCCTCCATATGACTATTCATTAGTGATGCAGGAACTCTGCCTCATCTCACTAGCAGACTGGAGAGTTAACATTAAAAATTAACATATAGAGTTTTTGAATAAGCTGAAGTATGGTCGTATTGATGCTCCCTCACTTCTTTCATCGATCAATATCATAATCCTTTCTCGCATTACTAGACACCACGTTCCTTTCGTAGTTACTGTGCACACTACAAATTATGGTAGAAATAGTCCTTTACACCGCATGATGAGGTTGGCCAATGAGAGCACCATTTATTAAGACTGGTAAAATTAGGCACTACTTCTTTATAATCCTAAATACTTACCATTATACTTTTATAATTATTATTCTTATTATCTTTTTTAAACCCTATGTCGTCGTCTCAGAATGAAAAGGTTCTAACGCAATTTATGTAATTGTTCAGGGGAACGTTTTTAAGTAGGACATTGAATAACTTTTTTCACCATAATTACTAAATCGTGAAAATTGTATGCAATATCAAGAAAGTTCCAAAGAACACAACTTTATCTGCAATTTGTCTTTCCTCAATTATTTACTGAGTTAATCATAAAAAACCAAAATATTAGTTTTAGAATTAAAAGGTTTTACGTGTAGAACTTTTTCATTCTGAAAATAAAAATTATTTATTTAGTTAGAACTTTTTCATTCTGATTTGAATCATTTTTTCTATGCAGTGATACCAACTTCTAGTGTAAACTACGTATGTTACCTATAAATTATACATTTTTTATTATGCAATATTTTTAGTTTTTAAGTTAAGTATTATTATATTATAACATACCCGTATATGTAGTGGGCGGGGGGTCCCCCCACCCCCCGGAATTTTTTTGTTGTGTATGTGCCTGGACATACCTACTATAAGTAATAAGTTACAATTGTATGGTCCATTGGCGCAATTAGTGTAGGGAAGGGGGGTATATTGAAAACGCAACAATATAAATTAAACGGCATAAATCATAATTCACAATAATGAAAAATGTCAAAAACGTAATTCAAATTTAAATGTACCATTTCTTATAATACTAAAGTAGGTACTATATACATGTGGCATGTAGGTATTACCTACCTTATCACCTCAACAAAACAAAAATAGACGGTACATTTATGCTGGAATGCTGGAATAATATTTTATTATGGCACAATAATAATTTATATTGTACCAGTGGTATAACCGTATTATAACTGTACCTTTTCATTCTGAGATATTACATTTAAGACCGTTTAGAACTATTTCATTCTTAATTATTGTTTAGAATGAAAAGGTTGTAACTGATATTTCTCGGTTTCGCGCTTAACATTCACGTTCTTATGAGTTAGAACCTTTTCATTCTCTGTATCTCATTGAATAATCAACGGATCGATCCGATTTCAAGATTGAATTATACAACAAAAAATTATAAATGATTATATGCAAAAAAAACCATTTTTCAAAAAAATTGATTTAGAACCTTTTCATTCTGAGGCGACGATGTGTGTTATTTGTATATTAATTATTTAAATTGTAAATTGTAAGATATATATTGTGAAACTGTTATATAGGGCTCCGCCCGTTAATAAATAAATATAAATATAAATATAAATTATTGTTCAGTTCAACTTGCCATCTTCATATCTCTTTAAAACACTCTTTGCCATCAATAAAATTCTGAAAACATAGTTGCGACTTTGAAAATAATATATAGAAATTAGTTAATGGGCATGGTTATGCAATTTTTATTTCCAATCATATAATGTTAAATTTTATCTTTGAACTAAGTTCAGTTAAATTTTTATATTCATTCAATTTTTTACTTATGAAGTAAAATAATGTACAAGTACTATTATTATGTGTAACGGAAATACCAATTCGTTACTCATCCCCACCCCCTTCGACCAGTCTATAAAGAACGTATTTATCTGTTGAACTCGTTTAAAACGACTTAATTTATGAATCAACGCGTGCTGCACAGTACGTATATTATAATATATTATGTTTACGCGTTTATCATATTATTATTTTATTAAAACGTTTCTATGTATACACGCGGAGAACTTAACCTCATGTGTTGAGCAAGCCAGCAAGGTTCGCCCAGAGGGTGGTGTGGCTATATAGCGATGTATATTTATAGTGGCACGCAATCCATACCCGAAAGGATATGACTGCCCCGAGGTCTCGGCAGTGATGTATATAAAAACGTATGTATATATCTATAAGAAATACGTATAAATACCACTACGAAACGTTTCAAAATCGTACAACACAATACGGAACAGGCACATAACAGTTGCAGGGGTGGCCGATTGTCGGTTTTCACAATCGCGATTGTCGACGACTGATCGATCTACAAAATGTGTCTGCCAATCAAAAATGTATAATACAATATTATCATATAATATAATATATTAAGGTATTTATTAATTGTATGACCGTAATGGCGTTTTGCTGCGGGCTTACGAATTACGATTATTACTCTTTCTTACTGCTGTCGAGAGTAGGTACAATTTATAATATTATATATTATAGTTTATTTTTTATATATGCATAATAATAAACCATACCCTCGTCGCGATATAATGGTATGCTCGGTTAACCGAGAACCGTGCTGTATACATCGCGGTACGGATTAAGTTTCGAATGTTTTGACTTTCCATCCTTCACCACCCCACCAACGAGACGAGATATTATGACTCGTATGACTCGTCTCATATTATAATGTTGTATAGTAACACACGACATCCACCGAAATGATATATTATAAATATTGCATTAGAATCGTATCATCTATACCAGCGGTTCTCAAACTGTGGTACGCAGAAGCCTACATGGTGGTACGCGGAAGGCCGTGTGGTGGTATATAGTATGGACTGTTAATAAATTAATATTTTTACTAATGTTTGTATAACGGATCTAATACTATTATATGTCTTGTGTAAATATAGGTGTACGCTAAATACACTGGTAAATGTACCTACCTAAATTAGAATGTTTAAACATTATTAATGTTAAATATGTATTAAAATTTCGCAATCCGAATGTATGGTACGCGAAAAAGAATTTTGAGAATCTCTGATCTGTACAATAAAGATTTTCAGATTTCCAAGTGCATGGGGGGTGGGACACTAATTTCGATGCTATCGTCGCGTCGTCGTTAGGCGGACAAACGTTGTTAACGCTGTTTGCAGTACATTCGCGCGTGCGAGGTTTTGCAAAAAAATTATCACACCGCTATTATTCGTCTGTCAGAGTACGCTTTTGATATTTTATTATATTATAAAATTATGTATATAATATATTATTATATAATATTATAATATTATTGTATAACACGCTAGTGCGGGGGACGACGACAATGGTGACGGTGCGCGGCCGGAACGGAACCAGTTTGGCGCGATTTCGTTTTCACAGACTCGCGGGGTTCGGCGCGTATAGTTATAATAATTTCGAGCACAATAGAATCCAGGGTGTGCGAGGGTGGACGTGCCGGCGCGCGCGCGTGCGAGTATTTCGTATTTTTTTATGCCGCGCGGCTTGTTGTTGTTATTATTATTATTATAACTACGTCGAGAGGGGCACGTGCCCTCCTTCGCCGCCCTCGCAGCCTTCTTACGAGATTACGTTTTAACGGTGAACGAAAAAAAAACTTGCCACGACAATATAAAATAAAATATATATAAAGAGCGGCGGGCGTATACGCGTGCTGTATATTATATTATGTATATACATAATAATAATATTATACTGGAAAACGGTGAAAAGATTTTTTTGTTTTCAATTGAATTTTTTTGGGGGTTTTTTGTTTGTTCGCGTAACGGTCGCCGCAGCTGCAGCCCTCCGCCCTGCACGGGCGCGTGTTCCGTCAGTCGGACGTGCTCTCATCACGCCTTGTTGGGCGCTTCTGCTGCATCGG